TTTCGTAGTCTCGAGATAACCAGCTGGTTATCATACCGCTGATCGCACACCGATCATAGCACAAAGGTGTAACTTCAAAAAGCAATGCACTATATCGCTAGTTGCTAAGGAGATGTAATTAATTCCGGTGAAAATTTCACCTTTTCTAACTGATATACATTAGTGGCAAACTTTAAAAGCTTATACGGAGCAATGACTGAAGATATAATGGCAAATTGCGTCTCTGTAGGATTCGGACAAGCGGTTTTAGTGTTACAGGCTGGGTTCTCCACCATTTCATTTCATGTTCAATCATCATCCAGTATGAATAACATCAGTGTCACTGAAAAGCCGATATCTTTAATCAATTCAACTCAGCTTGTATTCATTTATTTTTCCTTTTCCAAGTAAAGATGACAGGCATTATAAGGAGTGATATTGCGAGAGCTTCACAACAATCGGGATATTTCGGCCAAATATTAAATGTCTTCATAAAACAAATTCGAAGCAGAGATCACTTAGAAGTTATATGTTCCTTGTTTTAGATAACTCAGTAGAAGTGTAGACTAAAATGAACTCAATCAAATTTTAACATAATATCAAAAGTCATTTGGTGTAACCACACATATTTACTAGTTCTACTCTAAATATCGTAAAAGAATCAGGTTGATCGTTATAAATCATCCTGGCACTCTGGTAGGTTTAGAAACAGCTTTATTGCATAAAACATGTTACAGGTTGGTGAAACTTCAACAAACCATTTCCATCTGTTCTGAAATGTCATCAGTAATATTATGCACCCAGTTGGGTAAAAAGCATCTTCATACCAATAAAACTAACTACTCAACAACAAAAAAAATGCACATTCAAGCATATTTAAGAGGTTTTGCTGTTAAGACGAACAGATGGCAGTGTCAGAAGCAGTATTTATCGTAAGAAATAATGGGTTGGTCAGTATACACATTTCCGATCACTTGTCCCTCTTACGTACAAAAGGAATTTAATCCGTACACTGAGATTTCGAGCCAGTAAAATGTGCACAGCTGATACTTTGAACAATGGACTAAGAATAACAGAGAACTGAAAAGTTCGTATAGACTGTAACCATGAAGACAGCTGAAGGAAAGCGCCTTCAAATGGTGCCGAAGAAACGACTGTATCTAACCTTAGGGTTCAAAAGAAATGCAGTAACACGAACACTGACACTAAACTCAGAAATCTGATACAAAAGACCTTCTTTGCCACCATAATATGTTTGAAATTTATTACTCGCTGTATGATACCGATGTAGTTGAAGGATAGGCTTCCGAATCTGGCCACATCGATGAGCATGTAAAAATTTAAATGCTCCTGTGGAGATTGTTACATAGGCAGAACGACTCTATAAGCCCATCATCGCTTCATTGAGCAATGTCCAGCGTGGTTAGACAAAGGCATAGTGAAATCCATCCAAAGCTCAATACTCGCCCATTTAGTATATACTGAACATAAGATTGACGAAACCTCAGTATTTACTATTATTTACAAAGTCCCATCACAATACTTCAGGTTTGTGCGCCTCCGATTGCTAAGCATAGTAGAAGCCATAGCAATTAACAATTTCAAATCTAATTTATGTATTCAAAAGATGTTCGTTCGTCCTTCTTCCGTCCCATGGCCTTCAACTTCAACCCGGATACAATTGCAATGAATTCCTTCCCAGTCACCCGAATAAATGTAAATATTATCTCTGTTTGTAATCTTATCATTATCATTTTATTATCTAATCGGTATGCGACAATAATTTTATTTCCCTCTATCCCTGTATATACTTAATTCGCACGCACACTTATAAGGATTGATTACTGAGAATATCTGTAAACTTCCCGAGATTTTGTTTTGTTACCATCATCTTTACTGTTGTCTTCTAATTCTTCTAATTCTAATTCATATACCCGAATTAATTTAACCATGTTGATATCAAATGAGGACTATACTGAATAATTTGTAAATGTAAATGTGAAACCTGACGAGAATTTACCGAAACTACGTATTGGCTTCAAAATTTGTCTTCTAATCATATTTAAGTACATTGTAGAAGCTAAACCGTTCAAAAAGCCAATTAAAGTCATACCCTGGTTTACAAATAATCGAGATTACTTAAATTGTTAGTGCTTTAATCATACAACATGAAAACTGTTTAATTTGTGAATATTTACGAAAATGATATCTCACTATATAGCGCTACCGCCACCCGATATCATCGTTGAGTAACTGTCCTCACGACCATCAGGCTTTGACTCCACCGGTAACAACTTCTCACAGGAACTTCGGGAATATCTCTAGAAGCTAGTCACTAGTTGAATTTTCAAGGGAGTTGTGGAGATTTGGAAATATTTCAAGTTGTTATTCATCGTAAAGTGACATTGGTGACTAGCTTCGAGAGGTATTCCCGAAGTTCCAATGAGAAGTCGTGACCGGTGGAGTCAAAGCCTGATAGTTGTAAGGACAGTTACTCAAGGATGACATTAGGTGGCGGTTGCTCCATATCGTGAGCTAACAGAAGTTGGAAATATGAACCATTGGATTCTGGCACAGTGGCTTAATAGTAACGCGCTGACCGCGGAACCTGAAGGTCGCGGGTTCGACCCCTGGCGGGGTCGTGGGTGCCCCCTTCTGAGGAGTCCCATACTAGGACGAGACAGCTGTCCAGTGCTCCCAGGTTTCCTTTGTTCCTCCAACTGATGTCAGTCTACGATGAATAACAACTTGAAATATTTCCAAATCTCCACAACTCCCTCGAAAATGATATCATAACAAAAAAGGCTCAGTCTAAAGAGTACAACAGTAACCTCACTACTTCCAATACTAAATTATACTACTTCAAAGAAGCTATGGTGACTTGGTGTTACTTTTTTCTTTGTGCTAAACAGTTCAATTGTGAAGTAGTCATTGTCTACCGCTTTAGGTAACATTATCAGCAACAATTTCAGCATGAAGTCCAACTGAATTTCATATTAAAGACACAGTGTTACAGTATTCTTAAGATAGACTTATTCAGTATAGAATAAAATATTACCACTGTCCTTATTATACTGTTATATGATATAGTATATAAGTTTATGCAGTTAGTTTCCATCAGTGACCTCATTAACCTTTACAGAAAAGTTTGATATCCCATGTACTTATGAAATTGCTAATCGGGAAACTTTTTTCTCATGGAATGCTTTTAATGAGTGTAGAGTCCGAATACGCACACTGTAACTAACATCTGTAAAGCGTATTTACTTCAACTGCCTAATTAGAAAAGTACAGACTGAGTACTTTCCATTATAGTACAACAATGTAATCTAATACTGATTGATGTGACACTTTATGATTTCCCATGGTTGGTTGGATTGAGTAAGTCAACTACACTTGGCATATCAGCTACTGCACAGACGGGGACATCGAAACCATACCATAGCTCAAGCAGTGATTGCCGTATCTGATAACTAACGCCCTGGTATTTGGGGCAATGGATACTAGGATTGAAACTCAGTGGGTACATCATCACTCTCTGGGAGAGAGGAGCATCCAGCTCATGAGTCCCAACTGGGATGAATCTTTCGTCGTGTATTCCACTGCTAACCACTATTCATCATTACTAATACATATATGTTGTTCTCCTTATATCGTATGATGATGGCTGACTTTCATAACACAAACTACCTTCGAATTTATTTCCGGCAACGGTATTGGAGAGATGAGATATCCCAGACTCTCGTTCTTAATCATTCTGCTTTAAGACTAGTATAAATGGTACCGAATCCATAGCTTACTTCATACAGTAATCAGAAGTGAAAAGAATCAGAATCTAACTAAGGTGTCTCAAATAACCTGTTCAGTGACGTATATAACTATGTATTTCTTCGATTATATGGTTACATGTACACACTGGGCGGTCACTGCACAATAACCAACTTCACTTTGTCTCATCCTAAGTGCTGATGGAATTCTACTTTGCAATGTAGCTATCAATCTTAGAGACTCAGTATTGCTGGGAGACTTATACAGCTCAGTGGTAATGTCTGCGATTGCCGCAATGAGTAAGGTTGCCTTGAATCTCTGCAGGAGCATCAGTTCCCTAGTGGTTGTAAATACGTCAACTCAACACGAAACAGATTGAGCAGTGATTTTTATGGACTTCACCTAAAAACCTAACCTGTATTAAAATCTTATAAGTTGTCTAAAACAACCAAGTGGTATGCAGATTCTCTGACATAGTTCATGACTCCTTATTGAAAAACACAAGCGTAGATATTCATATTCCATGACAGACTTCACACTATTCAGCCACTATACTGATGTCCACTGGTCAACACCTCATTCTATAATTTTTTAAAATAAATAAACCTTTCGTTTTAACTGTGACTCGTGGGAATTTATTGTCCCATATAACAGAGGTGACTCTCGTGTCACAGTTAACTGTTGAAAATTTGACATTCTATGTTTTTTAATACTCAACAATTCTGCAGTCATCTTTGTATCACTGAATACTTGAAAAATAATGTAAATCAACCTTTTTCTTGCATTTGTTAATAGATGATTACACTGAATCAGTGGGGACACCTAAGTCAACGTTCTGTGCATTTAGGCGCTCAGTATACACAGAATGCTGTGTTAAGATGGGTGTAACAGTAGAGAATACCAGGAGTGGATGAACAATGAACCCGGTTAAGTTCAGAGACTTATCAATCAAGGCGCAAATAGTACATCAATTACATATCTGAGTACAGTGGTAAGTAGTAAATGTTCAAATAGCTTTGAAAGCCTGGAGTTTCTCAACTTTAAAATTGTAAATATTAGATGAGTTCACCTAAAGACGAAACTCATCTGGAGGGTTTTCTTTTTCTAACGTTGCCACATAGCAGCATAACATTGCTGCAGAGTTATATAATTCAATCAACACTCTTCTCGTAGTATTTGTATTGATGAATACCATTAGGAAAGAAATTATCAACCATTAAAATAACACCAGGTCATACCCATAAGTTACCTACCTTTAGAGGTCTTATAATTCCACTCATCCTCACTTAATCCCAGCCAACTATCTATCGTTTCACTTGGATTTCTATATGAACAAGTTAGATCCGATGACTGATGTATAGTTCTAGGAGATTTCTGGAAATTTGTTTCACAAATATTATTGAAGTTTTGCGTTCTCTCCATGTTCATTACTGACTGACCTGTCTGACAAGCAGGTGATGGTAGAAAACAGTTGCCATATGACGTATTATTGGTGCATGTTGTAGTTGTTGTTCCCGCAGCTGTGGTCATGAGACTAACACTGTTCTGTTCGTCTAGTAACTTCCGCACTTGTTCAATCAATATATCGATTGAGTCAGGATTCAGTGTATCGACAGAAGGAACTGCTATATTATTCATATCTGATGATAGGTTACTAATTCTTGGGATATTAGAAACACCAGAAGTGGAAGTATTTGATTGATCCACAGTATTCAGATAAGCTGAATTTAAGTTTGAAGGATTATCTACAAAATCATTGATGTTTGACACAAAATTTCCTGAAGACGGAAAGACGTTTAGCTGGTCTGCGGTAGGTACATTCTGTAGTAGATTGTTTAAACTTTGGTCATTAACTGATTGAGTGTTTTCCAGCATTCCAGATCCAGCCACAGCTGTAGCTGCAATTGCTCCAGCTACAGCCGCCAACGTTACTTGATTTAAGTCAGTTGGTCCAAGATCTACACACATTGAATTAATCTGGTCGACTAGTGATGGGTTATATGAAAGTGCCTGTAAAAATTCAGGATTATTAATGAGTTCCACTAAAGAATTATTTGTTACTGTCATTGACTGGTTAGCGGATACTGAAGTAGGCTGATTGAGTACGACATTCTGATCGATATTTCCGATTAAATTATTGGCCATAGATAATGAGTTAGACATTGGAAGTGGATTGGTCGAATTTAACTTCTTTGCAGTCAAAATACTTGGTATAGATATAAACTGATCATTTGAAGACATATAGTTCGAGGGTTCAGAGATAATACCTTCCAATTTACTTTGCTCAATATTTAACGGAAGCCTGGTTGTAGCTGTAGAGAATATTGGTGGTGCCAATGTTGATGAGATAAGAGTAGTTGGTCGCATTTCAGAACTTTCTGGGTATACATTTTGCAGGTTAAAAGTTGAAAAACTTGATGGCCAACTAGGTTCAAATGGTTCATCAGTCATTAAACTTTTCAGTAGACGACGATGATGCTGTTCCACTTGCCTTCTAAGCTGCCTTGTAGTTAATTCATTTGAACCAATCTGACGATCAAGTGAACCGAATCTCTCACTTTTAAACCTTTGTGAATGTATCGAATCTGATAACTCTTCTTGATCATCCAGATTGAATTCTGAATGCGCTGCAGCCAATCTAGCTCTTAACGTCTGCATAGATGTACATCCTGAAATTTTGCCTAGATCATCTAAATGACTTAAATGACCAGTAGACTTTGATAAGTTTCCAATATTTCTAGAAAAATGGTCCCATTCATCGGACAGTATTCTTCGGTGAAGTGACGTATCTGTACTTGATGGAGCATGACGTCGGTTGGTTGATGAGGATCGTGAGTATTTTGTCGCCTGTCTCTGATAATCATGAAGCGGTAGGGAAAAGTAAGATCCAGTTTCCAAGTAACTGGGATCATTTGACCATTTTGATTGTGGAGTTTGCAAAGACTTATAAGTTGGTGTGTAACTCCTCAGTGGAGCTCTTCTCAATCGAGGACCAGTTTCATAATCTGGATAAATCTTGTTAAAACGAGAAGTATTGGTAAAATCTTGGGGTTTTTCGGAATTTCTACCAGAAAATGGTTTAGGTCCTCGACTAGCTTCTTTTAGAATTCGCTGTTGTAAAGCTGTTTCAATATCAACTGACTTTAGGTGTTTAAACCGACCTGGAGGATGGATAAGTCCCAGTTTACTTCGATGATCATGACGTATAACAGATGCTACACCTACTTTATCCTTCGGTTGAAATGATGTACTAGCTTGTGAATACGATCGGTAAGGACGGTTATTATAATGACCCTTAAGATTACTTTTTGGCGAGACTTTAACATTTGTTCGATAAGAATCATTGTAATCAAGCTGTCTGACAGATCTATCCGGATAGATATCATGAAGTGATTTATGATTATTGTATGACTGTCCTAAATAAACAGCTGATGAAGATGAGTTAGGGCTTTCATATGCTCCAGGTAAATCATCACCAAAAGTGTTAACTTCATAACTATAAGTTGATGAATGCGGCCGCCTTCTTTGAGGTGCAAAGTATGAACCACGTGAACTGGACGAAGAAGACATATATTCTGTATGAATGTTTTCGTTATCACTAGTTTGTTCAGGAATGGAAGTGAGTATTGTCTCTTGGCTAATACGCTTTAGAATATGTATATACCAGTGTGAATGAAACGGTTCCCATAAGTTTCTGTTGGCGTAGAACTCATCAAAATTCAAAGGTGATGATAACTGTGATTCACTTAGTACATTCTCATTATATTTTGAAGATGGAACAGGTATATGAATAGAAAAATTACTGCATTCTGATAAAGTATCATAATTATTATCGTCTATTAACTGACTACTCAATGACTGTGGACAGGATAAAGAGAGGAAATAACTTTTAATTGGAGATTTTGATAAATCCTTTTCATGTAATCGACTATATCTGTCACCACTAGTATTATTGCTATCTGTTAAGGCTAAAAATGTGTCTGTAGGATCCGGTTCATCTACAGGTGAGGTAGAAAGTATTAATTGTGCTCTTTTCAGTGCTTTTTCACTAGAATAACAAGATGATTTTGTTGATGATCCAGTGATTGTCTGTTTCACACTTAAATGAGGTGATCCTGTTGTTTTAGGGAGTTGACAATTCGATACATTAATTTCACAAGAAGTACTTTCACGTGTGGAAAAATGATTTCCTAAAAGCTTCGAAGATATATCGCTTGACTTTGAACATGCAACTATCCTTAAATTTAAATCATCCTTTAAAAATGTTCCGTATTCACCTTGTGTATAGGCAATTTCATTGTATCGTTTATTAAAAATTAAATTTGGCTCTGTTAGAAATTTATCTCCATACTTATTATTGAAACATTGAAATTGGTAAATTGAAGACTGTGAGTTGTTAAAATTTGATTGATCAATAGGATATTGCAAGGATTGATCAGAATCAAGCCTTACAAAAGAAGTAGTATGTGGAGCTTCATCCAACTGTAAACTAGATTTCCTTACCTCTTTATGATTGGCTGATTTCATACTTCTGCCTTCCTCTCCAAAGTCAATCGATGAACCTTGGCTAGGGTCAATATATGTATGCATTGGATTTTTGGCAGCTTGTTCATAATGATAAGGAGAGAGAATTTCTTTGATAATGCCCTTCTCATCCATATTATTATTACTATTATTATTGCTATTGTCATTATCTGGGATTATATTATGAGTAGAATAATTGTCCAATAGTGGAGTGAAATTCATAGGTATCACGTGTTCATATAACTCAAACGTGTCTGAATGGTATAAGTCTTCTGTTTTTTCAACTTTTTCTTCCCTTTTTTCACCAGTCTTCATCAAATGATTATTTTTTTGCAGTAGTGTTTGCATAGATTGATTTGCATCACTTGAGAATTTACCATATGGATGAAACTCATTACTAGTAGTTTTATTTGACAAAAAGGTAGATACAGTAGGATTGGCAACATTTTCTTCAATGATATCAGTGTATCTGTTGCTATGTTTGGAGACAGCACTTTTTGTAACGCTGGATAGGGATTCTGAATAAGAAATATTCTCTCCTTGGTCATATGAAATCAACTTCTGTGATGTTTGAACTGGAAAAGTTGGGCAAGTGATGATATGACTTGATACAATACCTCCATATTTCTCGATATTTTCGATTATCTATAACAAAAAGTAAAACAGTATCAGCAATTCTAAATTAACTCGTAAATTTCAACAAAAGTTGATAGTGGTTGTGACTAGCAGAGGAATTTAGGATGTGCGTTTCGTCCAATTTGCGACTCGTCAACTGGATGTACCTGCACCCCAGTGAGTGATGTTGTTCGCAATGAGACTCGTAGCGTCCGCTTAGAAGCCCATATGCCAACAGAGGTCAAACAGTTCCATCCAGTATAACAACGGAGAATGAAAAATATACTGACAAATAGTAAAAGTTGATATTGCTGATGAATTCAGCAATGATAATATTCTAGTTTCTAGAGCATGAATAGAGATACTTGAACCCGTGGATGTCTGAAAAGAGCTGAGATGGTCGTACTTACACTAAAGAACTACAAGCATGTCTTCACTGGATAGTCAGCGTTGCAAAAAGTAATCCATCTTCCTCCCGATTGTGTTAGATACACAGAATAGTCAAAAGATAACGACCAGTTTGACATCACACTTTACCAAAACTATCAGTCGAGCTAAGCAATCTAACCATTAAGAAGCTAGTATAAATCTAAGCCAAGTTGGTTCATTATCCTTCCTAACATTTGAACAAAAGTAGTGATATAAGAAGCTATGAACCATTAACGAAAATACAGTAATCAGTATTGCTTAGAACAAACTTCACATTGAAAAACAAGCATGGCTTCCTTTCGTCACTGACGTCACAGCTTATCATCATACGGGAAGCTAGTCACTAAGTACTGTTAAGTTTGGATTCATCACAGACTGATATGAGCTGGAGAACGATTGGAAACCTGGGAGCTTCGGACAGCTGTTTCATCCTGCTGTGTGACTGCTCAGTAGTGCGCACCCGCGACCCAACCGGTGATCGAAATCAGGACTTTCAAGTCTCGTGGTGAAGGCACTAACCATTCAGACAGTGGGTTGAAATTAAACAGTTCACAGGTCCATACTTCTGTCAGTTCGCAATATAACGTGACTGTCTTCAAAGTCTTCAGTTGGTATCTGCCTCACTTTCAACTGGTTGACCTCACTGGTTACAGCTTCTTCGACTTATCTGCTGAATAGATAGCACGTTCGCTATGAAACCCGAAGGTCCGACGTTTTATCCCTAGCAGGGTCATAAGTGCGTACTGCTGAAGAAAGGAAACAGCTTTTTAGTGCTAAAAGATTTTTGACCATTCTCCCGCTGGTATCAGTCCGTCATGAATATAACATAAAAAATAAAATCCACATGAACATGAAGTGATGAATTGTATTCATTAATTTTGCCATCTGATGCAGATAATAAGTGGATATCCCTGAGGTATAACTGAGTTACTTAGTGTTGATACATTTTCATCATTTACTGGGAAACTTCAAACGTGATCTGAAAAGTTAATATAACCTGATGTATTCACTTAGCAAATTTTAACGCTTTCCTTTTCAAAGGGTATTTTTCGTAACGGACTGATAGTAGCTGAAGAACTACCGAGTAATTCAGTATAGCTTTTGACTAATTTTGAACTCTTCGGCAATGTAAACACAACATCATGAAGGACCAAGGACAGTTCAATCACTTCTTTTGGCCATTATATTACCATTCAGTAAGTGGGTCAAAAGTCAATGACCCACATTTTCCTAATTGACACACCTTGTGATATGCTTCAACTATCAGCCAGTGGCATTGGTGAGTATTTGTCTACCCAGCCTACTTTGTTGAATCCACTTCGCTTATCCATCTATTGAAAACCAAAGACATTTTTCTGACTTTATTTCAGACTAATTCAACATAAGTAATAGTTTGACGTAACCTTCAAGAAGGACTGGATTTCAGTGTCACCTTTATTCATTTATTTGTTTTGAAGAAGTGATACTGTCTGAAAAATTCGACTTCGTATTCAGCTCATAAAATTTATCATTAGATCATCATGTCGAAGGGTAGCTATAGACAGATCTGAGTCACAGATTCGAACCAGTCACTAGGTGGTAGTAAATGTAGATTTCAGTGGCTGGCAGAAGTCTGTCTGCTAATTCAGCAATATAGAAACTTAGTTGCACGGTATAACTTCGTGATATACTTTATTTAATCTTGGATTTTACTTGCATAAAAGTCAATAACCTAAATTTGGTACGGTTTTGTGTTCGACAGTAAACGTTTTAGTAGATTTCTGTCCCTTCATTAACTTAAAGAGGTGCCAAACATATTACAGTCACATCTGTGTAAATTAAAAGATCCGATTCCCTATTTAGAACAATAGAACTGTGTTTATAAAGTAGACTGTAATGAATGCGATACCACATACATTGAAGAGACATCATATCAAGTACTAATACGTCTAACTGAACACAGTCGAAGTTGCAAGAAACTACCGAAAAATTCCTTTGATCTTGAGAAACTTGAAAAAAGCTCCGCCATCGCAGCTCATGCCTTATATTCAAGTCATAAAGTATCATTCGAAAGGGTAAAAGTTTTGTAAAAGGGTTTCCTTTCTCACAAAGAGTAGGCCATTGTAGAAGACTTCCACATCTGTTGGTACACTTTTTCGGTCAACAGAAAATATGCGTCAAACATCCCATAAATATAGCAAACATTAATGACTGGCGTAGACAGTTTCAAACAAAATATTAAGAGAAGGTAGAGCACAATTTCATTTTACTAACTTGTCTAGAACAAACTTCACATTGAAAATCAAGGATGGCTTCCTTTCATCACTCTTATGTAATACTTTAGTGATCCACTATTTTCATTAATTTTACTCTCGTTTCTGAGTTATATATGCTCTATGGACCATTCTATATATTATATAATCCATTTTGTGACCACTCGTACTTCAGCTGTTATCAAAACACCTTTATCATTATCACTATTATTATCGTTATTATTATCTATTATATATTGTTTTATGTTCAAATATTCATATTCCCGAACTAGTAATCTATTTTTTCTCAACCTTGTAACTCACGCGTGACTTTAAAGGCAAACTTAGCAAAGGATGAGACAGGCAACTACATTCCTGCATTTCATAGAAAAGTACTTTTCCAGGCGAAATACCGAAGCCTGATTGGTGTATTCGGCAGTTGATTAGGTGGCCTTATAAGTCAGTCATAACTCACATTATATACGAACAAAATTCCCCCTCTCTCCCCCCACCCTATTTTTATTCCACCTCACTTGTACAACTCGTAAAAGCCTCTCTCACCCATTTCCCAACTCACTCACCTGCATTACATTGACCTTTGTTACACATCACAATATAATTAGATAATTGTAAAGGTCACCTTCTGTACCAAGACTTGTAGATTGAACGTAAAAACCTAATGTCAGATTCGTAGTCTTGTAAAGGATCTTCGCAGCAAGATCGAAGCATTGAGGAATAATACAAAATATTTGTGTTGTTTGTTCTAACATACTACGCCGGGATTACACAGATAAAAATACACCTTATACGAACACGTCAGCTCAGTGCCAAAATCGGATACTTTGTCATGCGATTATTCCGTGAACACCTTTTACAAGCAGAGAGAATTCACGATATAAGATACAAATCTGATTACGCTATGCACTAAATTGTCACTATTTCAATGACAATATTAACTCCATTTACTTGTAAGCCATTTTAACCTACGGATGGGTAAAAATATAAGAAATATACTGTTAGTATTTAAGAAATCCAAACATATTTGTGACCCTGAAGTTGTTAAACCCATTAGCCAACAGATTTTTCTGACACTCTGACCTGAAATAGATCATAGATACAGTTGATTTGACGAGTTAGAGGTTGGCTTGTTTAGTCCGATGGACAGATGAAGATATAATAAAGAACACAGGCCATTGCACAACTGAATACCAGTCGCACGCAAAATTAGTACATCAATTTGCTTTATCAACCTTGCCCGGTTAACTAGTTCACTAGTTACCAGCCTGTCCTAAGCCCGGGTAAAGAGGGAAGGTTGGGCATAGGGCTAGCAACCCTACCCCGTAAAATCAATCCAATCACTAAACAAACTTCAAAGCACAAAAAGTATAAAAAATAAAAACAAAATTATTCCTCACTGGAACCGGAGAGGTGAAAGGACACCGGTTGATGAAAGCCTTCTGGAAACCAATTGGCCGATGTGTCTCCTCTCTCTTGATGAAAGCGAAAGTAAGGGTGGAGACATGGAATGTCCGCTCTATGTTTGAACCTAGCTGGCAAGGCTGCCCAGATTGCAAATGAGATGAGAAGGTATAGTATTGAAGTGCTAGGCTAAGAATCTGCGAAAGCAGATGGAATAGAAGTGCACTCTCCAAACTGTCAACTGGAGGGGAGTCAATAATCTACTCCGACGTTGTCACCCAGACGACAACCATGAGCACACTGAGTTTCTGAGTGGCTAGCATGATGTCCCCAACAGCATCGCAGGCTCTCATGCAGTGGGAACCAAGCTCCTCCTGCAGGATCATAACGGAAAGGTTCAACTCAAAAGGACGGAAAGTGACAATCGTACAATGCTTCGCACCAACAAATAATGCAGAGCAAGAGAAAAAGGAGGAATTCCATAGACACCTGCAATCAGTACTGGACAAGACTTTAGTTGGCGACGTCAAAGTTCTGATAGGTGACATGAATGCCGAACTGGGAGTGGACAACACAGGAAGAGAACTAACCATGGGTCGAGAAGCGCTAGGTGAAATGATGAGAGAGAATGGAGAATTGTTTGCAGAATTCTGTGCATTCAACGATTTGATGATTGGAGACAATGTCTTTAAACACAAGGATATCCACTAAGCGACATGAATTTCACCAGCTAGACACACTACACTGAAAGTCCGGTCGACTTTATCTCAATGTGAAGAAAGTGGAGACGCAGCCAGCCTACTTGATACAAGGTCAAGAAGAGGAGCAGATGTAGGTTCATACCACTCACTATCTAGTAGAAGGAACCTTCAAAATCAAGTTGAAAGCCTTCAAGGAAGTTGGTGATAGACCACAGTTCAAGTTCAACACCCAGAAATTGAAAGACGAAAC